ATTGACTAGTTTCAACAGCAGCCAAAAAGCTTGTCTTCCTCCTAATATGACAGTAAATTGGATATTGTTATTGGAAAAGAAATTAAATAGTGACATCCTTTGACCAGGTCCATATAGCTAACGTAGTTAACAGTGGAAAATTATCTGATACACTGTTAGTTACCTTCATGTTTTCCAAGCAAGTTAGATCTATTAATAAAATGAGAATATTTCCCCAAAATTGATCTGGGCAGTTTGGGCTCTTTCAAAGACTGTTAAAGGTCACTTCATTTGCTTTACAAACTGCCCACCCATATATTGAGATTAAAAAACATTTCCCTATTACCAAATATGTAGAATTTTTAAAATACAACATTTTTGATGTTATATGAATGCATATAAAATTATCAGAACATAGTTTTATATGCATTTGTCCTAAGCTTGTCCTTCCAAGCTCAAAATTATCTATCTGGTCTCTATGTAATTATGCTCTTAGTAAGGTTGATTTGAAATCCTAAACAGTAGTGTTAGAGGAAGCGTCTCTAAGAATTTTTCTTAATTGCATAGCAACCATTATTTATCAAGAACTGATTTATTGGAAACCTATTACATTTAAGGCCTGGGATTGGTTCTGGGGGTGGATACAAATATAAATAAGACTCAATTTCTGCTTTTATCAGGAAATATTTTTAGATTAGCTGATGTAACAAATGAATCTCAGTAATTTTCTTTGGGGAGGTTTTGAAATCACTACTGGGATGATATTAGGAGCACAATCAAAGGCAGAGTTATTCACCACCTAGTACGTGCAAAACACTGTGACAGGAACTTCAAAGAGGATTAAGATTTTGTCTTTGCTGTTAACAGGAGAAAGATAGACTCAAGCAGGCTGTAATAATAATAATAAGAGCAAAAGCATAGAAAGAGCTGTAGATACACAGTTCAGAAACTACTCATGAACAAAACAGGAAATGTAGGTATGGCGTGTTGTTATACTAGATATAAAGTTATATATAATTAATTACCAATTTATTATTTAATGATGTAATCAGTGCAATAAAGCTAGAACATACTTTGGAGGTCAGTACAAAGGGGTTATAATTCTGACTCTGGCATAAAATATTTAATTTCTTTTAGTTGAGTTTCCATGCCCATAAAATTGTCATGATAATATCGCTTTTGGTGTTGAGAGGATTATATGAAATAGCATATGAAAGAGCCTAGTATCTTGCCTGATAAATAGTAGGCCTTCAATAAATGGAATTATTATATCTCTGTTTATTGCTCTTTGGCAAAAATCCGCTCACTGTGAGCAGTTCCACACATAATATGGCCCTTGATCTGCCCATTCTCCATCCCCCCTGCCACACCCCTAGTCCAGGCCACCATCATTTCTCAACTGGGCTAGTAAGACGACCTCTTATAAGAGCCTTTCTCATCTTTTTGCCTCTTTAAAATTTGCTGTCTATACAACTGCCAGAGTGATTTTGTAAAAAATAAAATTCAGGTCATATTATTTCCTTTCCTCACACCCTTGATGACGAAGAGATACAAATCAAGCTTCTTACCACAACCTATATGGAGAGGTAGAGTTGTGCTAAATATGAGAGAGAGAAAACTTGGGGAATAACAACATAGGAAAAATGATTAATCTCTGTATTTGCTCAGGCTGCTGTAACAAAGAACGACAGACTGGGTAGCTTAAACAACAGCAAGTTTATTTGTTCACTGTTCTGGAGGCTAGATGTCCAAGATCAAGGTGTCAGCAGGTCTGGTTTCTTGTAAGGCCTTTATCTTATAGATAGCATCTTTTCTCTGTTTTCACATGGTCTTTCTTCTGCGTGTTCCTGTGTCCTAATTGCCCCTTCTTTTAAGGACACAAGTCACTTTAAAGCCCACCGTAGTGACTTCATTTTATTTTAATTCCCTTTTAAAAAACGCTACCTCCAAATATGGTCACATTCTGAGGTACTAGGGGATAAAAATGCAATATATAAATTTGGGAGGAACATAATTCTGCCTATAACAACCTCTTTACGTGTCTATCTGTCACTGCAATTTCTACAGGTTTTTTTTTTTCCATGTAGTTTTAACAACTGTCACTATAACATACATTATAAATATGGTGTTTAAAAGCTGTCACTTTCAGAATATGGGCTTAGGGGTAGGTCTGTCCACTCACCCTCATTTTTGTTCTATGTGGCTTTCATTTCTTTTCATTCCCTTCTTCACTTGCTTAGCTCCAACTCCACTGGCCTTTTTCTGGTGCTTGAACACACTAAGATATTTTCTGCCTCTGAGATTTTCCCCCTGAAGTTCTCTGTGCCTGGAATGTAATTATTGCAGCTCTTTCAATGGTTTATGCTCATCCTCCAGGTCTCAGTTTAAAAATCACTGCTTGGAAGAGTGGCTAAAAAATCAAGAGTGGCTTTCCCAGTCTCCACACAATTACCAGCCTCTTTTGTTCCCCTTTCGAATGACAATATTCTTCCATTTAATTTATTTCTTTATTATACTCTGACTCCTCCAATAACACATTAAAGCCATGAGGCAGGGAACTCATGACACTCCTTTACCACTGTTAGCATCAGGGCCTAGCATGGAACTCGGCACAGAGCAAATGCCCACTCAGTAAATGTTTATTGAATGAATGTCTGAATGAAATCTCTTTACCAATCATGTTTCTAGAATCTCATTCAATATCAAAGATTTTGAAGGTGATAAAAACAAATACTGAATAATGTCACAAAAACCAAGGTTGAAATTATGAACACAAATGGAATCATTATACTACAAGAAGAATTAGTATAAACCCACATACCTTGAAATAAATTTGTAAGGAAAAATATCATTGGCTTAATTCTTCCTTCTCCTACACTTCCCCAACCCCTATACAACACCTATTATATTCATAGTTTACAGGACCCAGTTTGGTAAATGTTATTCTAAGAAACAAATGCACACTGTCTGTAAACTAGAGTAAAATGAGTGTCATCACGTAGGAATCTATTAGATATGCAAATAGGCTCCATGGTAGACCTATTTAATCAGCAGGTCTGGGGTGGGGTCAGCAATCTGTGCTTTTGCAAGGCTACCAGGTGACTCTGATGCAGTAGCGTTTGAGAACCCCTGCCCTAAGTCAATCTTCAAAGTGACTTGATTTTTCAAGAATCTTGTCAAACAGTCCAGTTGTATACTCAACTTTAACTGTTCTAAGTAACTTATTTATTCTTGTCCTGACTTAGAGTGTGAACAGTGCTTTTAATATTTAGTAATTGTCCTTAAGAAACTAGCAAAGTGGTTACTCCCACTCTTGAATCACTTTGTGTAAAATCTCCATCTTTTAATGTTCAGCACATATTACCTGCTTTTTGGATTATTTATCTACACCTGGAACAGTTTCGCTTTAATGAGTTATTACTACTATACTTTTGTTCTTTGAAATTGCTCATTCAATAAAAATTCAATTAACTTCTCATACTGTGTTTTCCAAAGATGTTATTTTTTAAAAATGAAAACTCACGACAGATCAGCCTGATCTATGCTTTTTCTCTGACCTTACCTCCTGAGGATATATTATTCTTAGGATACTTATTCAAGAAAGAATTCTCTTGTTTTCCTTCAAAGTATTTTTCTTTCTATAGCTCAGTCTTCTTCCTAAGGAGGGAGAAATATTCTGATTAATTTTCAAGAGGATAACTTTAGACCTAGAGCATTAAGCTATACCAACTTCTCTTTGTCTTTTTGGTATAAATCCTTTTGCCCAACCAGTATCCAAGGGGAATAGTCATCTTGATAGCAGATGTTATTTTTTTCCAGTATGGAGTACCTAGCCCCTGGTCATACAGTATTATAAACCATCATTTAAAAAAATGATGTTCAAGAGGGCAACAATTTTTATCTTTATTAGTAATAAAAAGTGATATTATATATACTAATAGCTACTATTATTATTGAGCACATTATGTCTTTGAGACTGGGACAAGAGATTTACATATATTATTTCAGTTAATACTCATTAAAACCTTTACCTATGAGGATACTTGGCCAAGATTAAGCAATTAAAAAAGTGTTAGAGCCAAATTTGAATTCCGGAATTCCTGATTTTAAACATCATGCTAAATCCAGACTATGGAAATTTTCTTTTGTCAAAAATCTGTGTCAGCCCATGGTCATGATGCCAAACACACCCATGCATTTGTTCCTGCACCAGTCTTACTTAAGCCTAGGAAAGAATCTTAGTAATGGCTGTTATGACAAGCAAAGAGAAACTACTACTTAGTTTCCATGAAACTAAGAGTACTTCCATGAAAGGCTTTCTGTGTTCAGATTCTCATATGAGCAGTTTCATTTGACTCTCATCAACAGTCTTGCTTTATAAGTACGGTTGCTGTTATTGAGGGGTTAAGTAACTTGTCCAAGATCACACAGCTTTTAAGTGGCAGAGCATGAATAGATCTGATTTATAGGAGAGCTTGCCTATGATCCCAATCACCAGTGGATGGCCTGTCTATTGTTAAAGATGACATGAATCATTTCTGTGCCTAAATTATTTACCAGTATTCTCAACTGTCCAAAAAATGCATTTCTTACAGCCATTATGTTTTTTTCTCCTCCTTTCCTTATGACTTAGTTCCCTCTTTTTAAAACCTCCCTTCTCTACTAAAAGGCCAATCAGAGGATGAACTATAAAAAACAATCACAAAGGCTAAAGCTTTTGTTCTCTGCACTGCCTGTCTTGGCAGTGCCTGGGGGTGATGTATCTTTGAAGACACAATTTCCTGGTAAGTAATTGGTTATTTTTTTGTTTTGTTTTGTTTGCCTGTAAGTAAACACTGCTTTCTGGTTTTGTTGTTCTTTTGTATACATTTTTTGTAGAGATGCATTATCTCACAGAAAATTTAAGATACTTGTAAAAATATGAAAAATTATATCTGTATTTATTCTTTAATTATCAAAATCCATGTTACCTGTAAAATTGATCATTATTTTTTCACACTTGTTTACTTCATACCCATTAGGTCCTGTTACAGAAGTAAAAACTGACATTTATGTTACCAGCTTTGGACCTGTTTCTGATGTTGAAATGGTAGGTCATTGGAAAATTTAATGTACTTTTTGAGGTTTAAAGAAAAGACACAGAAAATAAGGCAATTAGTATGCATTTTTGCTTAGTCACACAAAGGTAGACATAGAAAGTCAAAGAACAGCCAAATTGGGCCCAGAAGTTTATAGGAAGAGAGACAGTGAATTTGCATTTTAGCTCTAACATTGGAGTTTTTTTGGTTTGGTATCATTCTCATCAAAGGCAAGAACTTTCTTTTTACTGGTTTCCATGACACAACCTTGTATGTAGTATTTTTTTTTTCCTTAGAAAATTATTGAAGAGAATAAATTTAGTGCTTGCAGTTAGTTTTGGTATGACACTTTATATTGTAGTACTAACTGCATTTAGTGTTCCATGTTGGCTCAATTGCTCATTCCCCATCCTCACCTACCCCTCCACTCCCTTGCTTTCTCTCATGTTTAAAGAACTTAGAACACCAAGCACTAGTCAGGATAAATTCATCCATTCAGTTGTGCTCTCTAATATTAAGTATGTTTTGTTTCAAGGTCAAATAGCCCACTTTACTTTTTTCCCTTGACTCGGGGCTCCCAGACTAATTTTAATAAATTTTAGGAATATAAAATTTCTTTTCACATATTTTACTTTGTCTTAAAGAGATGCTTACAATTTTATGATTCATTATGTAATGACACTAACTAATTTTGTTACTTGGTCTAAAGTAAAGAACAACGGTAATTATCTGGTGCTGGCAGTTTTATTAAATTATAGTTATTATTTTTGAATGATTATATTCATGGTAATTTATCTAACAAATGTAGAAGATTAAGGTATTAAGATGGATATAACATGCTTTAATTGCTGAGGATACTTTTGTTCCATTGACTTAAGAAAACTTCTGCTCCTATTAATTTAGTTTTTATTTGGGTAATCTTTTTTATGAGAAGGAAAGAGGCTAGAATTTAATGCATTTTTTTACATATTTATGTGTAATCATGTCTGATATGAATATGTCATGAACTAATTTCCCTAGGAATACACAATGGATGTGTTCTTCAGACAGACATGGATTGACAAAAGACTAAAATATGATGGCCCCATTGAAATTTTGAGATTGAATAATATGATGGTAACAAAAGTATGGACCCCTGACACTTTCTTCAGGAATGGGAAGAAATCTGTCTCACATAACATGACAGCCCCAAATAAGCTCTTTAGAATTATGAGAAATGGCACTATTTTATACACAATGAGGTAGTCATTTTTTCCTTCTGCCCTTTTTATCTTTTCCCTCCCTCCTTCCTTCCCTCCCTCCCGTCCTTCTTACCTTCTTTTCTTCATTCATTTCAGGGGTCCGTAATTTTTTTTTAGAGAAAAAACTGATTCCAATTGTATTTTTCCATCACAGACTCACCATAAGTGCGGAGTGCCCCATGAGATTGGTGGATTTCCCCATGGATGGTCATGCATGCCCTTTGAAATTTGGAAGTTGTAAGTTACAATAGAAACGTTATTCGAATTAATGATTATCTCATGTAAGCGGATAATTATATATTTGCATGATTTTTCATAATCCAATATTTAAATTTTTGTCCATGACAACAACTGTCCAAAATCTGACTTTTAGGAGACTGTTAGTTATCTAATACATTTAAATAAAGAAGTAAAAACAATCTGCCGTCCCCCCCAAATTACTTCTACAGATAGCCTAGGTAGACCAACTGACTCGTAAGTAATAGGTTAATCATCAGTGGTGGAGATTAGGGAACTCTGAATTCCTTCACTGATGGTGTAACATAACAAGTATAAATAATTTTGTTTGTTTTGTTTTGTTCTTTCACAAACAAGGTCCTTTGTGGCAGGTGTGGGGGAAAAAAAAGGCCAAGGAAGATTCAGGTTTCCTTGACATGACATAAATTAGAATAATATAAGCAGCATTGTTAGTTTCAAAGTGACTGAAGCATGACAAAAACATAGTAGACATGTGGTCTGATTTGTAGACAGAGTCAGGTAACATAATGCCTTTGGAAGATTTAAATAAGAGATGTGGCCTTCTTTGACTGACATTTCACAATTTCACACCAGCTCTTCTATGGAGAATGGATTGTAGTGAGGCTAGAGTAGAAGCTGAGAAGGAATGGAGACTATTGTTTTAATACAAAGATGGCGGTGGCTTAGACCCAGATAGCACTAGAGGGGAAGCTGTGAGATAGATGAATTTGTCTTATATTGTGGGGGTGAAGCCAAGAGGATGAAACGAATTTGTAAGAAAGAATATGGGATTCCTTTCCCCTAAGCACCCTTCTCTGAGATGGCAGCAAAATTTGATTGCCTCTTCTAAAGTCTGCCTCAAATACTTGATTTAATCAGAATCTGCCAAAAATAGATGCTGCTTTTTACTATTGCTTCAGATTTTTAGTTGCACTGATTGTGAAACTTGCCTGCTGTTATCATTGCTCATTGCTTAACTTAATGGGAATCAGCAGTCAGCATTCTTTTTATAACCTCTGGTAAGCACAATATTCATGGGCTAACTTGAAGCTAAAGACATTCACTTGCTCCCTGACCAGTGACTTACTGAGAGAAGATAAAAACAGAAAATACACAGACAGCAAGGCGATTGCCCTGGGGCCAGAATTCAAATCCATTTGTGCTCTCATAGTTTAGGTTTCACCCAGATATTTCTTATCTAGGGTTTTATCTTTCCCACTCATTTCCTCCCCCTCTCCCCACCCCTCCTTCCAACTCCCAGTTCTCATAAAAGTACTCTTCAGAGTTACTTGAAAATATTTAGTGCTCAAAAAGTGCATGCACAAAATAAAGAAATTACCCCTTGGAAGTTGATGTTTAAGGACTGGAAATTGAAAAGAGGGGTGTACCTTTTGAACACCTTCACCTATTCTACCCACCCCCACCACCAGCCTCAAATATTGAATCATTAAGAAAACGATTATCCTAGCACAGTAGGCTAACCCAGAGAAGGCCACCTGATTTAAAACATCATGGGCAGGAACATAGTATTGGGGGACTTTAAATGTATGATTAAACATGAACATGCTTCAGGAGATCATTGTTCACATGTAACTATATACTGCTGAATTACAACACAAGCTTCATAGTTTGTTTTGCTAACTATGGGTATCAACTCATTTTGTAGAATTAAACAATTCCACGAAGGACCTACTGTGCTCTAGTCATTTTAGAGAGGCTCGTGGAGGGTAGTACACAACTTACCTTGCATCTTTTGAACTTAACTTGTGTGTGAGCCCATCTTTCTGTTCTGGGTGGACTGGTGAGAAAGCAGCTGGTCTCTATTTGCATTGAGCACTGACTAATAAAAAATGGGCTTAAATTGCTGTTGGGAAGGATTTGTTGAAGATGGAAGAGAAAATGTCCTGTTTATAAGAATTCAGAGGTAGTGGAACTGGTTGTGTAATTATATTCCTTGCAGGGCCTTACAAACAGCAGAGCCAGTTGTCACTGTAGCACAGTTCCCAAACAGCATGGGTATTGCCCAAAGGCAGAGTCTGGACCAGGTGACTCCTACAGACCTCTCCCAAAAGTAGGACTTCTGTTGCTGTTGCTGTATTACTATAGGCAGCATTTTGTATGTTTCTAATTGGCAGAGCTGAATTAGAATTGAAAAAATTAATATTGTTGAAGCACTGGAAGTGAATTGGAATGGAAAGAAGTAGCAGTTTGATTGCTTTTTTTTGGGAGGGGTTATTTGTGCATTCCAACTGCTTATTAATATAGAAACATATCCATGTGCATCGATGCAGGGATAGCATTTTTGTTGCTTTAGTCTCTCCACTTTTTTGGCTTAAAAACAAGGAATATACAAGGCTGTTTATTTAATCTCTACAGTGTTCTAAATCTGAAATGTGTTGAAATAACTCATAATGATTATTATTTTCACTTACTCCATTTTTCTTGAACATGTGTAATATTCTGAAGTGTTGTCCATCAATCAGTGCTGATGAAAAAGGAGTGCTGGCTCTAACCACATTCTGTGCTCTTATTCAGATGCTTACCCGAAGAGTGAGATGATTTATACCTGGACAAAAGGTCCCGAGAAATCAGTAGAAGTTCCGAAGGAGTCCTCCAGCTTAGTTCAATATGACTTGATCGGGCAAACCGTATCAAGTGAAACTATCAAATCCATTACGGGTGAGATGTTCAGTGATTAAAGTCAACATGTTACTTCGCGTTGGCAATGGAGTTTTGTCCTAGCTTTTTCTTGGCAAGATCTAGCAGGGGTGTCCAACCTGCGGCTCACCGTCTGCATGAGGCTCAGGATGGCTATGAATGCGGCCCAACACAAAATCGTAAATTAACTTAACACATGAGATTTTTTTCTTATTACGTGTCACAATGTATGTAATGTGTGGTCCAAGAGAACTCTTCTCTTCCAGCTTGTCCCAGAGACTCCAGAAAGTTGGATACCTCTGATAGTGTTTTCGTGGGACAACAGAAAGTCTTCAAAAATAGAGTTAATATATAAATCACAGTTCAGAATTTTGAATTTGTACTTATAATCTTAGTTTAAAATAAATTCTGCGTTACTTTGATGTGAGTTGTTTTTCTTATTGAGAAACAAAATTCAGTAATCAATTATATTAAAATTATTTTCAACAGAATTCTGAGACAGGAAGTCTGACCACTGATTTTTGGACACTAGATTTTCTACTTTCTGTGATGCTTTCCCAAACTAGTTTTTGTTATCTTGCTTCACAAAAGTAAAAGCAGAATATAAAGCTTAGTTACAAAACATTAAGGATATATGTTAAAGCTGTCACATGGGTAGATGGATGATTATCACTGATAATTCTTAGTCTGTATTTACTATAATGTGAATGGAAAGAATTATAAGATTTAATTTTTATTATATTTAATGGGAAAATTGGCTGATTATTGTTGGTTCTAAAACTATTTCTTACATATACAATATTGCCAGGAAAAAAGTATTTTTTGAAAACATTCAATTATTAGCCTGCAAGTGAGATTGAAAACAAGTGGGATTTGAGACTTCTGAATTTTGGGTCTTACAGTCTGAGAATGAGGCTACTGACTCCTAAGTAATTCTCTTAATATATTCCCTTTAAATTTAACATTAAAAATATTTAACAACAACCACCAGAAATCTTATGGTTTGTTTTTCTTATTAGCTTTTTATCTAAATGATAATAAAACATTCTTGAACTTGGGGATGTTATACAGGGTCCAGCACAAATGTCCCTTTTTTAATTACAAAATATTTTATTATAAAATCATAAGCATGTAATTCTGTAACATAACAATATCACACTCAAGCACACCATATGACATTTTAGGTGAAATGTTCAAATTAAAACTATACATTATTACACCCATATTATTACCCTACCAGCTACATTCAAGCAGGCCTTACTTCTGCTGGACCTTGTATATAGGTCCTTGTATATAACTTATGTTATATATGTCTCTTTTTATTTTTTCTTCATATAAATAACATTTAGAAATACAGCTCTTTCCTAAAACTAAGTCAGTAAGGCAGCATATGTGTATATATAATATATATGTGTATTTAAATTTTTTAAAAATGTAAGCTTTATGTATTTGTATATATCCATTTTCTAGTGGTTTTTGATAAAAGTTAGATCTAAATTTTCTCTCAAAAGATGCTGAAAATGAAGGCTAAGTTCTTCCACATTACAAGTCCTTTAAAATAAAAAACACTAAGAATTTTTAAAAAGTTATAACTTATTTTCTTAAATTGCTTAATCACTATGTAGAACATATTTCTCCATGTTGGTTTGCTGTGTACAACAGATCATTTCTTTGCCTGGAATGCTGTTAGCCTGAAATGTGAGTATGAAGCCAATTGAATAACTGGCTGCAGAACCAATAACACATTTTTGTCATGTTTTATTTGTAGGTGAATATATTGTTATGACAGTTTATTTCCACCTCAGACGGAAGATGGGTTATTTTATGATTCAGACGTACATCCCATGTATTATGACAGTGATTCTTTCGCAAGTTTCATTCTGGATAAATAAGGAATCAGTTCCAGCTAGGACTGTATTTGGTAATTGCAATTCATTTTTTGAGTATTTTTGTTCACATTACATTTTGTTCATGATTTCATGGCAATAGCTCTTAGATATCATTTCTAAGAAAATATTAAACAGTAATATATCAGACTATGCTGAGTAAAAAAATCATGTAAGCTTTCTTTTTATCTAGCCAATACGAAGTAATAAGGCTTGAGGGGATGTGGGCAGTTCATCCTTTCCTTGGGGGCCCCGTCAGTTTGCCCTTATTGAGACCAGGCAGGTAAAGGCTAAGTGTGACTCTGGATATAATTTCACTTTTAATGGTGGTCTTGGGCTCCTAGCTTAATGCTGTGTAACTGAATTAAAATTATATCTAGGTATTAAAATAAAATGCACTGGGAGCTTAAAATAAAACAAATAAAAGTCATGGCTGAATGAATACGAAAGCCAAGAATCATTTGCTTTTTAATGAGGAAGAATAAAATGCAAATGGTTTAAATGCATTGAGTTGGAAGGTATTATATGCTTAGCTTATTAGCTCATTGTTATATTCTATCTACATTTTTTTCTGAACACATCATAGTTCTTTTTGTTTTTATAATGGTTCTTCTTATATTTTAAACTATATGAAGTCCAGAACACATGAGTTTCAAATTTTTATGGTTGTTAAATAAGTCTTTTGCATATAATTCAGACTGTTAAATAAAATTAGTTATGCTATTTATTTGAATATATTTCTCCATTCTTTTTCTCTTGATTGAGAGGAGCAAAATCACTCACTAGTGGTATGAGGAGGAAAGCAATCAGAATTTCTCTGGAATGGAGGTGCAGCTCTCACAAGAGATGTCGGTCTTCCCTTGGTAGGATCAAAACCATGGTATAATAGTCCTTATCACAAAGAGCTGAAAGGGTGCTGGTGAGAAGGAACTAGGGAGGGTGGTAGGAGCCGCTCATCCCACCTCCCCATCCTATTGGAGAGCTGATAATAATGTTGTCTTAGTGCCTTCAGTGAATGTGGGGATATTTTCCACATACACTCCCCAACACACATATTTTTTATCTTAGAAAATGTATCGAAATCTTACTGGAGAAACTTGCAGAAGGGTCAGTTGAGGGGACGGCCGGGTACGACCATAGGAAGGCAGTGAGCATGTGTAATGGTATAAACTACATCATAGAGTTGTCAGGGTTCAGTTATTGAATAACTGCACATTGCAAGCATTGAATAAATTTTAACTATGAAAAATAGGTATGAAAGAGAGAAAACAACAAATCTAAGTTTTGGGCTACAGTAGGTGGGGGTTCAAAACTGGAATATGCCACTTATTTTCTCTATCTATAAAATTGTGAGAAAACATCTCTTCTTCACAGACTAGTGAGAATTTAGATTTATGTGCAGCACTCATTACAGGGTGTATGGAACACTTAGACCCTTAGACCCTGTTTGTTACTCTCCCAACCTCTCTTATGTAGTGGAGATTTAATTTTGTTCCCACTTGATTTCCTTGATTTTTTATTGTTTTTAAAGAAAACATTGTTCTATTGTGTAATAACGAACACTGCTAAGTTATCTCCTGTATCTCATTTAGTGCTCACACTAACCTTTTTACACCTTATGTTCAGAGGCAGCCTGACTGGGCAGGAAGTATGTGCTGAGGCTGAGCACCAGGTCCAAGTCTCTTAACTACTCGACAGATAACACTAATATTTCAGGAACTACCACCATTAAAACATAAAAATAAAATCACATGTATACATATTATGTTCATTTTTCTCTGGTCCTGAAGAACTTCTAGAACAGAAAACACGGACCCATTATTGGTGCCTCTGTTGAAGAGATGATAGTGTCATAGGGTAGATTCTGGAGCCAAGCAGCCTAGCTTCTAACCCCAAAGGTCTACCACTTATTAGCTGTGAACCTTCAATGAATTACTTCTGCCTGTTTCCTCATGTCTTAAACAGGATGAAATCTTCAGGGCTGCCATGTGGATTGAGTTAATTTGGATAAAACACACAAAAATGCCTACCACACGAAATATTATTTGTCTTCATTTGAGAATCACTACTTGATACTTCAGTGTGAACGTTCTCTGTATTTTGTTACTGCTTGACAAGCTTTGAATGCTTTCCTGGTTGGCTACAAACTATAGCCACTGTTTTGTCCAACAAATCCCCAAATGATAGAAATGTCCAGTGCTGTGGGGAGGAATCAGGTTGGTTGTAGTTGTACCTTCCCAACATTTCCTATCCAGAGAAGACACTGTAAGGAAATTAATTAGTATATATTAAGGATACTGGTAATACAGTTAAAAATGATTATAAGATTTGCTGTAGTCTGTTAGGGGTCATCTTATAACATCTTTACAATAACTCAGTGATATAGGTGTTATTAATATTTATGAATCAGGAAAATTACTCAAATAGGTTAAGAAACTTGTACAAAATCACATACTTAAAAGTGATGGATCCAAGACAATTTCTTTCTAACTTTGGGAATTCTGCTATTTCTACTCTGACATTCTCCCTTCATATGAAGATATGGGGGCTTGTGGAAAATTCTAGAGCAGCTGAGTGAGTGTGTATGGATATGCACTGAAGATACCTTGTGGGTAGCTTTTTCAGTTTGAAATGTGACATTTGCTTCTGTCTTCTGCTCATGCACCAAGATAAGTTGGTTTTGATTGACCAGGTAAGTTATGCTCAATAATTAAGTCCTCAAAAACTTAAGATATGTCAAAATGGTGATAATTAGGCTGTTCAATGAGGCTCTAAGACGGTATTTTACGAAGAAAGTTAAGTTTTAAGTATTTGAGAGGCATTAACAGTCTATTTCGTATGAGAGGTAAAAAAATAATTCCTTGCTGGTATTTATCTTCCCTCATACTTATTTTCCTCTTTACTCAAGAAGAGAACTTGCTGGGTCAGGTATACACTAGAGATCATGCAAAAACAAAACTAAAAAAATTCAGTTTAAATATGAAAAGTAGAGTGAGCTAAATTTTCTCCAAGGGCCTGCTATCTCCAAAGTTGTATGCCTCTAAGTTTTCTAATTATTCTAGTATAGTAAAACATTAAACTTGAGTAAATGCCAACTGGCATATCTAAGTCATTCCTAGTTCATTTTTCTAGGAGTGGGCAGCAAGAATTTTACACTTGTATACAGCATTAGCCTACTCTTACATGTCCTCTCCAAGCTCCTGGGCCAGCCAATATGGTGCATATTCAGCATTCTAAAAACAGGAACTGGCATCAATACTTGAATGTGTCAAAAATATTCTATGGTTATTGAAATGTTTTCAAGGGTAAGTGCCAGCTAAGCCATTTAAACAGATGCACTGTCTTCCTAGATGCAGCAGGGAAGCCATGGCTTCTTATCTGAAGGGTTGGCTTCCGTTTATTATTCCGTTGATGTTTATTTGACCAAATGCCCCACATAAACCAGGTAGATTAAGCACATCCCTGTAATACTAGGAGTTCTTTAAATTTGAACTCCAGGCAGAGAGAACTTTTTAATGTTTTAAGGGATGGGCACTTCAGACACTTAGCCAATTGTTTATGCCAGTTACTTTCCCAATTTTGCCAACAGTTTTAAAATAGGAACTATATTATCTGGAGGGCTACTCTACAAACTTTAAAGTCAATTTGATTCCAAGTAATGAAAAAGAAATAGAAAGTGGCCACATAGCCAACCAACATTTTTAGCAATGATGTCTGCAGCATCATTGAACATCTTCAGAAACTTGATGATCTACTCTTTAACGGAAAGTGATTTTTGGAGTCATAGCTCAATAATTGCATTTACATTCTGTGTCCTTAACATTATTAATAAGGTAATGGGGACTAGCTACATGACAGCAGGAGAAGACTAAGACTACTTTTGGTCCTCAGGATAAATTGTTCTATTACAAAAGAAAAAATGTGCAAAGCAACATTTCAAAGTCCCTTATGTTTGATTTCAGTGTTCTTTTTTCCATTACCACATTATGGTCTCTGTAGAATTTTTTGAGGTTCTGGTTAGTATTCTTATTTAAACTGAACTCTTCCTAATTTATTTCCAAGTACTTTCAGCATAATACCTATGATATTAGAGGAAATATACCTAAGGAGGTTGTCAAATATTCTTGAATACTTAATAGGTTACTAAACTTAACATTAAGAATAAGAAAAAAACTGATTTATCTTCAAACTTTGTAGCTAAAGTTTTTCAAAATTAATTTAGGGTTTATTCAACACATCCCTTACCCAACATAAGAATGGTGTCATTTTTTTCCTGAGATTTAACATGGAGGCCTTACCTCTGTAAGGACTTTTTCTGAAACAAAGGCAAATAAATTCATAATATTGCATTTTCATAGAGATTTAGATATCTATATATTTGACCAAATAAATGTATTTTAAAATCTATTTTACACTAATAATACTAAAAATATGACACAATAGTTTTTAAAAGGGAATACAGCCAAATTCTCAAATTCCATCTGCTGTATAGTTTATAAAATGTTTTAAGATGTATAGCTCATATACTGCACAGTTGCTCTAATTTTTCATGTTCCAAACATTGACAATTCAAAAGGGGCTGGAGAAAAAATGGATTGGTGAGGAGCTGAAAAAAATGAGTTTTTATTTACTGTCCATTTATCATGTGCCTGGCACTATGTACTATATTATGGTAAATTTTGAAACAATGTAAGACACTTTTGCTCTCATGAAGGCTATTTCTGACAAAGTTGTGGAAACAAAGCTTATGCACTTGGAACAATTAGGAAATACAAAGCAGACTATAATGCTGAATTGAGAAAACAATACGATTTCTACCTTAATCAAAATATTATTATTCCATTATTTTTGCACAAAAGCCCATAATCTCTTCAGTTTAACATGTACAGTTTGGTTTTCAGTGAGGGCTAGGCATGGATTGGAATGCACAGTTCAGATGTCTTTGTTATTGTTATTGACATCTTTGTCACCATCATTATCATCATGATCATCATCCCCAAACAATTAAAAGTAATCTCAAGCATTATATAGAATGAGTTTAAATGAATATAGTAAACCCCAACAGAAATTTCCAAGATTAACTAGATAACATGGATTAGATATAAAGATAGACAAAAGTATACATCTTTAATACTTTATTTCTCTATAGTTCTAGGGGCAAGTCGAATTTTTCCTTTGAGAATGGGGACTAACCTTTTTCCAGGCTGAGGAAAAGGCTTTCTTGGAGGTGATATACTTCAGAAGCCTATTAATGGAAGAGAAATACCTCTATTCTTATTGTAAATATTTTCCTCCCAACCATAAACTGATGGGTGATAGATGTCTAATATTTTTAAACATCTATTACTCCTCACTAATAGATATATATTGTTCTAGAAATGTGTTTTTCCAGGAGTATAACTTTATTGTTTTATATAAAGTTTTTCACAGCTAGTAAATTATTTTAATTCAATAGGTAATATTCAGTTAAAGATTATAAGTATCTACAACTTCTGCTTTTTCTGGTAGTTATGCTCAATAGCAGTGGGCCATGTCTACCCCAGGAATTCTGATGCTCCAATTTTTCATACTACCAACTTCTCACTCTTGGTTGAGAATCAGTGCTTCAATGAATCGCATTTCCTCTTAGGTGTGTGTGTTGAATTTCTCAGGTATGTTGGCTCAGATACAATATATGCTAGGCGCCTTATATATTTTTAATCATTATGACAAACCCAACATGTAGGTATCAAATGAAACCCAGTGAGTTTTCACAACTTAATCCAAGTCACACTGAGCCAACAATAGAAAAGCCCATACAAATTCTACTACATATTTAAGCCTATAAACCACTAGGATTAGAATCTTCCATCAAAATGATTTGGTTAGAATTGTAAAGCCTGATACCCTATCCACCACTACCAAATCCCTAGATGTGTTTGTTTGTTAGTTTGTTTTTGCCTGGAAGTAATGGTATTCTGTCTCTTTGCTCTTCTGCTTTGAAGGAATAACCACGGTCCTCACCATGACCACACTGAGCATCAGTGCACGGCATTCTTTGCCCAAAGTGTCCTATGCCACTGCCATGGATTGGTTCATAGCTGTCTGCTTTGCTTTTGTATTTTCCGCCCTTATTGAGTTTGCTGCTGTCAATTATTTTACCAATGTTCAAATGGAAAAAGCCAAAAAGAAGAAATCAAAAGCCCTCCAGGAAATTCCAGCTGCGCCCGTGCTGAAAGAAAAGGGTCCCGAAGCACCTCTGCAGGTATTTGACTAAATCTCCTTCAATTTAGAATTTGAATTTTTTGGTCAAATTCACATGGCCAAGGGGAAAAAAATGAGAACTTGGCAATACCAGTTTGTAAGTCATTTAAAAATCCAGGAAAATATGAACGGTAATTATAAATTTAAAATTTAAAACTGATTAATGGCTTAAAAATTAAACTGCTTTGGATGAGCCAGACAGTGCTGGTTGTTTGAAAGTTCTTTTCAAAATTCAAAGTTTTTGACAGAAAAGGGCAACATCTTCTATACTAATTAGAGGAAGCTGTGTATATCTTTGAGTGGGTGGAAATGCGTTTTAGCAGAATTCATTTGTTGTAGGTGGAAATTAGGATCTTCCAATGAGATGAGGAAAGCATTCCAAGGACCCACACATGGGAGATTGTGGGGAGGCAAAATGGTTTATTCGTGTGGAAGGCTGCCCCTGGGTTTCTGATATCCCATCTCCCTTCGTCCCACCATGGTAAATCAGGGCCAGAAGTAGAGTCAATGCCCAGACTTCCCGCACCATGTGAAGGCTAGCTCAGTCCAGTCATTCTCACCATCCGGCTAACTTAGCTTGCATTCCTCACTGTGATCTGTTGCTGCGCTGACCTGGATCCTGCATGTGGAGTCGCTGCAGCTATTGGCCACAGGGCCGCTAAGGCCATGTGGCTGTGGAGAGAGGATCCGTGAGTCACAGGCCATGGGCTGGTCATGAGCAAGAGAGAGAACTTCTTTGCTCTCCTGAAGTTATATTAGCTTGAGTTTGGGATGGACCAGGTGCTTTTTCAATACACAATAAACTTCCCAAATTTTTGTGGTTTTTTGATAGGCCCACCCCCTAGGTACACTGACAGTCCTCTTTGGTCCAAAACCTCCTCCTGTGCCCCCCAACATTCCAGTAATGGGGTGGGGAAGGGAGAAATGTTAATCCCCTTTGCGGTGTGAAGCGGTAGCTTCCTGGTAAAGCAAACAGGCTCATGATCTCCAGTTCATTAAGCTCCATGTCTAATTCCCTTTGCTCTCCTCCTTTAAAAAAAAAATAATATCAACTTAACTACCGATGGTAATACATTGAACAAAATAAAGCAGTGGTTCTTAACATGGCTCTATAATAAAACTATCCCATGGGGTGGGGTAGGACCTGTGCTGTTGTATTAAAGAAGAAAATAAAATCAATGTACAGGAAGACCAATAGGCGTAACTGATGTACATTCAAGACTGAGAATTCTTGTCGTAGAAGGACAAAGCCAAAAGTATGTCGAAACCTAACAAGAGCTACTGTAATTTCCACTGGACACATAAGTGATTCTGTGATTTAAGAAAATTAAAGTTACTTATTCCTTATGGACTTCAGTTGTACAGAAATAGCAAGATCTTCATGAAAATAAGAAAGCAAACAGGAAGTCCTCCACTTTCCCCTCCTCCTCCCACCTTGTCCTCCTTGGATATTTTGTTCTCTCTCTCTTTCTCACTCTCATTCAGTTTATGCTTCTTTCTTGAATCAGCAAAGGGTGTGTGGTCACTTAAAGACAGTTTTACTGTAGTTGCCATAAATGGTAGTCTGAAACTCTTTTTGTTTGTATGTGCCCAAATGAAAGTGTATATAAATTATCAACTTTATTTTCTATAGTAAATAACTCATTCCCTTACTTATTCATTCATTCTTTCTTTTCCCCCCGTTCATTTAACAAATACACATTTAATACCAATGATGTGCTGGACCCTGTTTATGGTCTGAGAATCAAAGTTGTATACCCTCCCACCCCCAACAGAATATCCTACATTATGGAGTTTACATTGAAGTATGTAGGACAGAGAAAGAGAGACAGATGATCTTTAAAATGGCAAACAATAAAGCGGTTGGTGTGTCAGATGGTAACAGTGCTCTGACATTGCTGAAGGAAGTACTGGTGCAGTGTGAGAAGAATGGGATTCGGTTCAGAATCCAGCGGACAGGGAAAGTTAAGTCCGCCAAGAGGAGATGGCAGCTTAACAAATTAGGTTTGGTGTTCACCCCGGCAGGGATTAATGTTTTGGGTCCTAAATTTATAACTGCTCCTATAAGGCCCTGGGCTCTGGTTCTCCTAGAATGGCATGTGAGCAGATAAGGAAATTACTGCCCTCCCATTAAGTAAGTTTGGATAGCTTACATTTTCTTCCATAGATACTCGTTCTATCAAGATTTTCTAAAGTATTAGAATGGATTTTTAATACTACTTATAGTTAGAAAAACTTGGTAGAATAGTGCTATATACTGTTTCTCTTTTAAAAATATTAAGTCTTGGATATTTTACTTTCTTTACTGTTTCTGTTTTCTATTTAATGATTCATAATTTATTTTAATTCCACCTCTCTGCAGGCTAATTCTGTTACTCTTTTCTTAGCTTCTTGAGTTTCATTCTTACCAACTTATTTCACTTTTATTTAATAATGAAGTTTTCTTTTATTACAATGATATTTCTTTGCTTGTAGCTTTGATCATTCACATAAATTTTGATATACGATATTATCATAATTATTTGTTAAGTATTCTGCAATTATGTTGTGGGTTTTCTTTATAAGCTAAAAATTACTTGGAAAAACATATTAAAATTTTCCAATGGGATTTTGTTTGCTTATTTAGCTTCACTGTTTAATTTCAGTTCAGAAATATTACCTGTACAGATTTGAATGTTACTGATATTTTTGTTACACCCTGAGTATGCTGCAAACTTGTAAATGTTCGCTGGCTATATGAAAGAGTTCATTTTTAATTATTAAATCAATTTACTTAAAACATTATTACTTCTCTCTCTTAATCAGTCACCTCTTTTTAATCTTTCAAATACCAAAAAATATAAAAAATCCTCTTATTAATATTATGATTATGCTCATTTGTTTTGGATTTTAACTATTTTTGTTGTATACACTTTGATATCATGATACTTAACATGTAAAGATTTCATAACTGCTCTATTTCCATATCAGTCTATGCAGTTAATCATAAAATAACCTTTTGTTGCCCCATATTACACCTTTCCTGTTAATTATATTTGGTCTGGTTATAATACAGTATATTAAAATATTATTTCTTAATATTAAGTTTTGCCATATATTTTTATTGCTAAGTTTTCCTTATTTTATTTCTCATGTACTTTGAATCTATACATCATAATTTTATATTATTAGTGGTTAACTTTAAGTTTTAAAACAATACATTTCTGCTTATGATTTTTAGTAATTTTGAAATTTTAAAATATAGTGAGTCTCCCACATAGTTTGTTAACTCACTCTAGACCTAGGATTGATCACATTCAAAGATTCTGGATGTAGAGACTACACACACACGCACACACACACATACGTATGTGTATGTATATAGTTTTTGTTTATAATGAATTGCTGTAGTTCTTTCATTTTTGCAAGGTGATATGAGACTCCTTGTACTGTTGTTACAGTGGAATGTTATAAATACTTAAAAAGTACTACTTAATCAAAATAAAACTATTTTGCTGAATTTCCAAAGGCGAGAATGAAACCAATGATATTTTACTTACTGCTTAAAACATCTCTTTTTTTTTTAATTGTTGACACTATTACAAATGTCCCCCACTTCTCCCGCTTTGTCCCCCTCCACCCAGTCCCATGCAAGCATTCATCACATTGTTGTCTGTGCCCATGGGCTATGCACTTACACACATATGTTCTTTGGCTAACCATATTGACTATAGCAATTGTGATTGCTGGTAAATGCTCGGATGAGCACATCCAATTGGTTAAGTCCACTTTGATTCAGTAACTCCTGTTGGCAGCGTGTGCCCTGTGCTGCGTGCAATGACATAATCAAGATCAAGAAGACGAAATTTGTTTGTAAAGGGCACGGAGTCATTTAAGGGCTGGAAAAAAATTTTATGATAAATGTCAAAATATACAGCATAGGCTTTATGTCCTCTACAGGTGGGACTGTATATATGTGATAACCTGGGTCTCCACAGCAGTTTACTTGAACAATGTCTTTGTTCTGAAGACAGTGATTAATGGGTTGGCCTACCCATCCTTCTGGCTCCAGATTGCTGCCAGAACATAGCTGGCTTCGGAGTGCCTGCCATTGCATGGCTTCAATATCAAGTTGAAGGTGGAGGACATATTAAAATTGAGGGAGTGAGAATGCAAAAAAAAGATAAGGATAAGGAAATTTAGAAGGGGAGAGAGTGTGTTAAGAGCAAAATTTTAAAACATGTTACTGGAAAGGAATGTTCTAAGAATCTTATGGGTTTAGAGTTTCAGTAGAGATTCTAATCAGATAGGTGAAATGTGCTTATTCAAATATGTGTTCTAAGTTCTATGGCTACTCGCTTATTTGAATGATGTTGCTTTTGTTTAAAATATGTTTAAATTCCTTTGGAACTGCCTTCACCATCTACATAACATTTGGTAATTTGTTAGTCCTTTGGGTAAGCTCCAAGTGGTTTAATTCATTGTTACTCTATGTGACCTATGGACTGTTAGTGGCCTGTCACAGGTTTATTGTGACCATTTTTATTCTTTGGAAATTGGAAAGGAGAAAAGGTCAATTGGCATAATCTAAACCAGCCATGGGCAGCTTGAGTATGTCTTTGAGCATCTCAAGAGGCAAAAGCAGCTTTTCTCTTCTGTTTTGGCTCAGGGTTGCCTTGATTCTATCTTTGATTCTCTCTTTTCACTACCTGAGTCGAGGTCCATTCTCGTGGTTCTATCTTTCCATACCCTTACTACTTGTTAGAGTGCCTACTGTCTCACTAATGTGGGTGATTTGGACTAATAGGATGTTTTGAAAAATAAGTAACTATAAAATAAAAGGGAAAGATTAATTAATGAAATTATATTTTAAAAATCACTTGAAAATGAAATATATTCTATGGTCTTCTTTCCATCAGAAAGTATGCATTAATGTATACATTTGGATTTTGTGAAAAAACCCAATGATATAATAATTAACATTACTTGAGCTGTTACATTGTGTTAGGTACTATGTGATAT